ACCGCTTTCATATAAAACTCTTCTACCCGAAACCAACCCAAAAACCCATCAGAACCCCAGAGAAACCCTAGCCTCCCTCTCCCCTCAAACCCTAGATTCGTTTTTGGTGATTTTGGAGGAGTTTTGGGGGAGTTTTCAGCGGGATTTAGTGGTGTTGTCGAAGGGGGATCGTCCTCTCATCGGATTCAGGAGTTTGCAGCACATCAGAGGTGAGTAACATCTCACCCAATCCTACACCCACTGTTTGTATAGCTTTCTTGAGTTTTTATTTTAGATTTTTGAGCCTAAAAACGTATTTTATGCATAAAAATAGATACTTTACATTATGAGATGCAAGATCTATATTTTTCAGTTATAAAAAGCTCACAAACGAATTTGTAAATTAAGACCCAGATCTGAAAATTTGTTTAAACATGAGTTTCAATGTGATTTACTATTTTCAATACGTTTTTAAACATGTTTATATGATTAAGGTTTTTTTTATGTAAGTGATCACATGCAAATCCCTTTAGTTTCTGTTGATACACATGAGTTAGAATCGAAAATATATTGCTGGACATGATTAAAGAGAACTTTAGTTAGCGTTTTTGCAGATAATCATCGAAAGCAGAAAACTGGAGAGTTTCTGCTTAGTCGACCAATGAGTCGACTCATGAGTCGACTTATGAGTCGACTGATGAGTCGACCAATGAGTCGACTGATGGGAAAAACTTCAGTTTTATGTTTTGTCCGGTCGACTTATGAGTCGACTGATGAGTCGACCAATGAGTCGACTAATGAGGAGTTTTCTTCTTTTATATTTCTTCAGTTTTGAATCTGTTTGAGTTATTTCAGTTTAACTAAAATTGTTTATGTTTGTTTATTGTTGCTGCGTGCTTAAATATGAACGGGGAGTCGCCTCGAATGACAGGTATTAGAAATTTATGTATAACATGTATCTTTATATGTGAGATGACATGCGGACACGAGTTTAGGTTTGCGCACCTAGACACGTGAGAAATTAGGGTATATGCACCTGTTCCTATAACTCATCTAGTCCATGTGTTGGGCAATTATGATGTGTAGTCCATGTGTTGGCCATTTATCACTTTCAGTCCATGTGTTGGACAGTTTTCATATGCAGTCCATGTGTTGGACATCCACTACATCAGTTTAGACCTTGAGAGTTGACACATATACTTGCATAGGCTGGACACGACATTTATACGAGTTGTGACACGACACCGTAATTAAGTCTGAGATGAGTTTGCCTTCTTTTATTAATGTTCTTGTATTAGATTTTAGGTTTGGTATTTAGGGATGTACAATTTGAGATACAAGGTATATACATGAGGGTTCCCTTGTTTGGATTATTTCGCTCGACGTACCTATACTCGTGTTGTAACTTCCTAAATACTAAAATCCTCTTATACATAGGTATTTACAATCTGAGCTACATGGTATATACATGAGGGTTTCCTTGTTTGGATTATTTCGCTCGACGTACATATGCTCACATTATAATTACATAAATAGGATTTGTGATTATATATATATATGTTATAACTGTATTTTCTATATACAACGAGTCCTTTTCCCTTGGGGTTAGTTGTGATGTTGCTCGCTAACGCTTTGACGCTCGTTGTCCCTCTCCCTTTTAGGTAACGAGCTAGGAGCCCGAAGAGTCGTAGGTTAATGGCGAGACACTTTAGCTTCAGCTATTCTATTATAGTTACATTTTACTTTTGAGCTCCATTGTAGGCTTTTGTTTAGACATTTTGAGAGTTTATTTCTAGAAGTTGTAAAGGCTGTGTGCCTTATTTCCTTTTATTCAGGCATTTGTATTTGAGACTTGTTGAGAAGTTCCAGTTTACTCATTTTTGACATTTACTTATGCTTTAGTATGTTAGATGATGAAATATTAATTTGATCTCTATTATTTCATCAGTTGACTCTTGTATTATCTTTTACTTGCTTTTGTACCTACACCTGTTATTTGACTCTACTAGAGAGATAGTAATTGTGATGGTGAAACATGTTATTGTACGGTGTGGTGTATGGCAGGTTTGACATTCTTAGTTTTACCTTGGACTGCAGCCTTGTGTGAACCCAGGGGCGTCACAGTTGGAGGATAGGCTTTCTCGGAGTTATGCCCGTCGCTGGGACCTTTTTCTTCAACAAGTAGCATTCTTCTTGGCCTATTTTAAGGCTTTTACAATGGCATCATCATCCATCATTGCAGCAATAGGTCTCTTGTGGCCCGGTGTCTTTTGCCTAAATGTGGGCTTGGGGCTTTCAACTCAGTTGACGAGTTTAGTTGGATTAAAGCCTTCTCCTTCGGAGGAAAGACTATTTGAACAGTCTAACCCGGGGGAGAGACTTTCCTTTGGTGAGTCGGCCACAATTGGAGCTTTGGTCTCCTTAGAGATTTTGCGGATCTTTCTTATAGCCTTAGGGCTAAGGGATCCGAAGGAGAGGAACTCCTCATACTTGGCTTGATCGAATTCCACCATCAGAGTTTTGATCGTCGTTCTAGCGAGGTTGATGTCGGATTACGCCACCACTTCTTTATCGGTGAAAAAGCTCATCCCCAGCAGAGTCGCCTTATTTTGTTTGTGGGAAAATTAAAGAAAAAATAAGAATAAAATTTGTATTAATCTCCCTAACTGACTTAGGAAAAGAATGAATATAATCTCTCACTATAATCTCTCTCTAACTAACTTTAAAAAAAAAAGAAATTACAATTCTTCTCTATCGGTATCCCGATTTACAAAAGAAGGAAGGAATCGACGGAGATCATTCCATTTGTTTAAATGTGGGTTCTTCTTGGTGTCGATGGGAGCTTTCTTGTATCACATTGACGATCCGAACATCTCGCTTCGTGAAACTTGGTAGAACTCTGAAGAAGCTTAAGAGAACTTGTGATGCAAGTTTCGAACTCTAAACGAGTTTAAAACTCTGTAAAAGAGTTGATTTCGGAAAGGAAATTAATCCTTTTAAATTTAACCGAAATGGTTCACAAGCCAAGGCCGAAAGCTCCAAGAAAAGCCTTCACAAAAACCTCCACAAAAGCTAAAAAGATCAAGACTCCAAATGCCCCTCTTTGCCAAGATCTTTTTCTGATCTTCAGATGATCCAAAGATCCATTTTAAGTTAATTTTCAGCTATTTATAGAGGCAGCCCTTAGACAAATGACCAAAATACTCTAAAATTTTGACCGTTTTTTGACCATTTTTGGGGGTATTTTGGTCAAAAGATCAAAAATGACCGTTTATGGCCGTTACGATCGGACCG